GGAGGCACAGTAAATATACAAAGGTGAAAAAAGATTGCTTATAAATCTATCGTAATAGATATTTATACATTTGGTCAGATCATAAGTAAGTATAAATACACCATAACCTATGTGGAATCGAGTTAGACCTGGTTCGAGAATGGAACTCACCCAATATTAGGGTCTGATTTTTAGTTTAAACGAAAAACTAAAATTAAATAGTGGGCATAAAAGATTTTGTATGTAGTACGGTCAAATTATAATCTTAAGAGAATGAGATATCCAAGTAGTTTAATCGTATAATAATGTAGGAAAACCAATTTCATCCAAAAGGTAAATTGTTAAGCATGTTTTTGCTAGTTTATTTTATTTAGCATGAAATTGTCATTACATTTAGACACGTTATACTGTTGAAATACTTTAGATGTAAGTACATTGTATAATTTAAAACAGTAGCTAAAAGTGGTTCTTTCGTGAAATGAATGTAAACGAAATTTAAAAAAAACTTTGAGTTATTGTTTGTTGAGTTACAATACGCTCAATTTCATAACTTAAAATAAGGTTCACGTGTGCAAATCAGAAAATGATGAATAAAAAATTAACTATCGACATTTGCTTTGACGGTTTATGAACTAGAAATTGTATCACAATTATTTATTTGTTGAATACATACACTGCAATAAATTCAGGTGACAAGTATTACGTAGATACAGACGATAAGAGTTACAGCATACGCTGCTGTCTAAATATACAGCGTTAGACAACTGAGCAATTGGTTAATCATTCATTGTATTAGTATGAACAGTAATATTTTATAAGCTTTGGCTCGATAAAATTCATAGCTGTTTGAAAAAAAACTCATTATTTCAGACTACACTTTCAAATTTTTTTTTTTTGGGTTGGTGAGTTATATTGACTTGCAAGTTAGAAAAGAACTATTTACCTTTATAGGTAATTATACCTGTTTCTTCTTTCCTGTTAAATAAAAAAATCAACTGATACATAATCCATCACGTAATAATAATTAAAACATATTAATTAAAATTGGATGCTTGCAACGAGAAACTTTTCCAGCAAGTTGATTAATTAAGGACCGCAGAGAGCAAAGTATAAGGATTCGCAACTTTAGTTTGGCAACGCTTGTCTCTCTGACGTTTCTTTGGGAAGCCGTGCACCAATTCGCAAACAACTTTGTCCTCGGCCTGTCTCTCGTTTGCATGCCAGCTAACCGTTCTGGCTCGGAAAATTCATCAGCCGATTTTCCGCTGCCTGGACACAACGGCACTATCTCATCTTTCTCAGTTGCGAACTTTTCTGCGAACTGACGACTCTTCCGTAAACGCCTACATTAGTACGTTCTTGAATCAGCACCGAAATTCCATGACATATTCTGTGCATTCATTGTATATATATATTTCGAGATAGGGGCTACTCCCCACACGCTCCCTATATATACGACTGTGGTTTTATAGCTGTCCCCCGACGGTGACAATGCAACACCGAACAGAGCTACAAGTGCCGACATCTAGGTGAGCGCAATTAGCTCTCGTCGCCGTCGTCTTCCGTTACCTTTGTCTCGAGTAGAGGTATCGTCGTACCCGTCGCGTGCAGGCTTGTGTACACGCGTGTGCACGTGTATCGAGAATGGACGGAAGTTTCTTTCGAGAGTTTCGCGGGCGAGTCTTATTGATTTTCCTTTGACAATGAAACTTTTTTTTTCAGTTCTGCATGTTGTATTGCTGCTGTTCCAAGAATCACGTTTTTTTTTTCCTCGTTTTTTCGCTTCATGTATGGTCTTGGGAACTTTTCTTTTCTTTAGCTTATGACAAATACAAAAAAAAAAAAAAAAACTTTCCTTTTTACTAATCAAGTAAATCTACAAATTCGATTAAAATGTGTTGCGTTGCCTTTTTTATTCTATCAGAGTTTAGTGTTGCAACTAACGATAGGAAAGCGCGGACAAAGGTCCAAGAGAAGCGTATGATTGGGTTTATTTTGACTTTAATTGCTCCCGCTACTCGAGACTATTACTACAATTAAAGCTTTTATTCGGAGCAACGGGACAAGAAAGCAATTCCCTAATGAGGCTTGATTGGAAGCGCACTACAGTTCACCTCACAGATCACCTCAAAGATAAAAATTACCGCTGATTTTCTTGCTGTCAAAAGAAATTATGTGCGTCGAAGTAAGAAGTTTGATGAATGAATCATGGCTTGTAAAATTATGTGAAAATTGTCTATTTCTCATCTATTATTATTATGCTTACTCAATTACGTTGATTCAAAACTAGTTTTCATAACATTATCAGTGTCATCACTGAATTTGTAGCAATTAAATAATTACGTAAGATCAGTTCATAATGTAGCGTATTATTATGTTCCAGCAAAATTTAAATAACAAAATTGTTTGAAACTTATCTGTACCTATCTGTTGAAAAATTAAATTTAATTCATGCAACTGATTAATGAGTTTTTCGAGCAGACACTTTAAGCTCGACTACTAGATACATAGGTATGATATCAAACTTTGAAGGTAAAGTAAATACTGTTTTGAGTATGCAAACAAGTTTAGATCCAGCAAACTTTGCAATTATATCACGTTGTTCCAAAATGTCCATAAAAACGCAAAGCACACAGTATACCTGAACTTTGTGCAAAATATCACTTGTTATAACTGTTTAAAAATAAAAATTTAGTCTACATTTTCTGGTTATAATAAGCTTCAAAAATGCGTATGATTTTTCGTGATTATATTTTATTCTTTGTAAATATTACAGTTTTATTCTCTGCACGGCAATCAGCTTACTTATATAAATTTATAATTTACAATAATATAATTATTTATCAATTATACATTCGTATTGTAAATTGTATTAGGATGTACATGTATAACACTGTTCTATGTGAGTTTATCAAATTTTCATATATGCATATTATTTATTTAACAATATAAATCGTTATATTAAAAAAACACTTTATGTACTACAAATCTTATCACAAGATAAATTAATAATAGTTCTTAATGCATAGGAACAATCATATCAAATTATTTTTTAAATCGATATCATTTCAGAAGAATATTGGTCGCTTAAATGATATCGAACCATCATTATTATGTATATACAATACTAGCGCGTCGAAAACGATATAACAAGGTAATTTCAAACAAAATATGATTTTTAAACGATGTAATATAATATTTTTTTCTCAATACAATAAACTTTGACCCCTTGTACCACTTCGCAAAGTTTGAATTTGCTTTTATTGTGTGTAAGGCAATTGTTTCTATGACAATTAATACATAGTTTTAAAATTTTCTATATTTATAATTATATATATATATATCGTTCTAAGCTTTTTGATACATAGATTTTATAATATTTATTTGCAAACAAGCATAATATAAATAATTGCAACCAAATAAATAAATTTCTTTTATTTTCTTCAATAATTCAACATTATAACTTAAGGTTTTCTCGTACTATAAAAATAATTTAAACTCTGTGCTACATCATTTTGAGCAAGTTTTATCATCTAACAACAATCACACTTTTCGTTGGAGTTTTCGAGGGCACATTTTTCACCAGATTATTTGTACTGAAAGGCAGTATTTTAAAAAAATTAAAAAAAAAATTAACTTTAGTTATTCTAATCTCTAATAATTACGATTATTTATAATATTAGGAGAACCAATAACGAACTTGTTATTTGAGAGCATCGCTCTGACGGAGTTCTATTATTTAATTTTGAAAATAACGATCATCAAAGTATTTATAAAAAAAAAAAAAAAAAAAAATTTACCATGTAAAAGCAATGATTTTCCAACTGCTCATACGAGAACGAACATTTCCATCATACACATTGTTTTACCTTATTCTATTAGATATTGTAAATTATAGCTCATAAATTAAGTTTATTTGATTTTTTGTTTCAAACAAATCAGCTTTTTACAAAAAAAATTTTTTACACTCACAAAAATTCAAGTTGATTGTTAAAAAATTACCAAACCACTAAAATATTGTAAAAGTTTTAGGTCAGTTTAAATTTTAGTTGACGTAAATTTCATGTCATTGAAATAGGTGTAAAAAAAAGACCTTGTTTACATAGTTTTTATATCGATACAGCATTTTGAAACTAGAATTGGAAGATACTTAATTTCTATTAAAACATGCACTTTTTGTTTCACTAACAGCAACAGAAGTAAATTTTCTTGACATCAAATAAAAATTCACTAGATTTAACAGTAGCTTGTTAATTAGTACAGTATCCTTGTAAAAATTTTCGTTGAACTTGGGTTTGGGATTATCGCTTGAACTTGCATGATCAAATCGGGGCGATTTCAAGTGGCTAAACAATGTATCTCCTTAACCTATATAAAATAAAGATAAGCATCTGTGCTACAAAAATAGACGTGTGTACGCTTGTGTTGTTCGTAGGCGGAGTTGTTTATAATTCTTGAGAAGTCGCCTGTGTCATTATAAAGACAAAAATGTTCTTTTTATAAAAATACAACTACGCCATGTGGATGATCAAGATGACCTTGAAGCCTGAAAAAAGTATGTCTCACGCCTGAGGTTGAATATGTTGAATCACATAAAGTTTTATTTTTTATTTTAGGTAAAATAAATAAAAATTTTAAAAAATATATTTTTATTAATGAAGAATCACGTTTTAAGAATAATTTACTAAAGAAGACTTGATCTGTAGGTTTTAATAATTGTATACTCTGCAAGGCTGAAAAAAAATGAATTTGTACAGCGTAAATTTACGCATGAATATCAAGCAGAAGTTAAGAGCAAAAAAATTTCATAACGAATTCAAGCAAAATTAAAATTAAAGTTTATTTGAAAAAATAATTCATTGCATTTACACTTACTAAACTTTACGATGGATTTCATACTTTTTTCTGACTTCTGAAGTTTTGTTTGTTGAAAAATTTCTGCTTAACACTATTTAGATGTACATATATAAACAATATTTTTATATATAAATTTGATTATTGTTTTTAATTTATAATGTAGCTTATTCGTCATGTTTATTTGGCACCACAATCTGCTGCTTTGTGTTGACCCATTTCCGTGGATGGTATGGTGTCTGAAAAAATTTCATAGAATTTTTATTGGATTGCCTTTCTAGTGACATTTAATTTCATACATTAAATAATTATATATTCCAATTTTTATCAATTAACATAACTTAAATTAAAAAAAAAAAGTTTGCTTAAATCAATATGTACTATACGTCATCCATGTTTGAAAAATAAAAAATTTTATTTTTGTCAAGCAATAAAAGTGATTGATTTTTTAACACTGTCGTAACGAACTTTGTAACATTTAATAACGACTGGGTTTAATACAGTTGGACATTACAAACTTTTTTAATGAAACCATTTCCGCGGCTTTTTTAAACTGTTTTGAATATCCACGATTGTATTGAATTAGTATTAGCGAGACAAATAACAACGAACATTAAACTATTCTTATTTTGAAATAATACCAGAACTATCGATAAAATACGTTATGTTGAGAATAATGATATTTCTACTTTAAATTTATGATCCATTGAGAGTGAAAATCAATAAGCGCCAACTCTACCGAAAGAAAAAGATGGTCGTGCATTTTGCGGCATGCAACGACCCACATTTTATCGATGCAATAAATTATACTTTAAAACTCGGTTTATTCTCTACAACCCGTCATCTAATAACATTCTTGCGTTATCTCTTGAAAGAATTTTCAACGGCTTATACTACGCGCCTTTTCTTTCGGAATTATCACTTCTTTGCAAACACCGAGTCACTTAAGGGGCTTCTTACTTTTAATATATGTTTGCATTGTGTGCAATAGTATTCAGGTGACTGTGCACATAAAAGTGCATTTGACACTCGAATAACGACTGAGAAGTGCTCTTGAGTTGGAAAATAATGCAGAGTTAATTATCTTTCAGTGGGGCCGTTCATAAAAAATAAATTGGAGTTTTCTCACCTCAACGCTCAAAATAATGAATAATACAATGCCACGAGGTAATCTACATTTTTATCCCTACTTTGTAGAATAATTGCTCGCATTGATGCAATAAAAATTCATAGTCTTGTGAAAAAAGGAAATAAAGCCAAAGGTATCCGAGTCGAAGTTCGATGTAATTAAACGAGGGTACGATTTCAAGGGGCTTATTGATATGCTCTCACACAAATGTACACATACAGCTCTTAACCCAAATTGTAAAGAAAATCTATTACCTGCTACCTTATATCAGCAGTTACACGAAAAACGCCAACTAGGAGTCCTCAAAAAAAAGAAAATGTTTTTCTGACTCATACATGAGTAAGCGAGGCGTGGCATGCTTTTTGGTGCTAATTCGATTGACAACTGGTCATTGACATCTGGTTGTTATTTTAGTGTGATAAACTGTTACATTCTTTTTTTAATCGTATAAATAAAGAGTTACTTATAGTTTTTTTTTTTACCCCAGTTTTTGGATAAAAATGTGCAATGTCCCAAAAACCTCATTTTTCGGGACTTGTTGAATTTTTTACTTAACAACCATAAATTTTATGAAAAAACTACTAAAGCATATTATTATTCTTAATTTGCTAAGAAATGAGTGCGTCACACTTCGTTCGTTCGATCCACAAAAATTTTTCCGTACTCCTATATCGGTGTGAAAAATTAAAAAACCTTTGTCTTAAAAAAAAAAATTAAGTTTCTATGTAGGTAACTTTCAACTAAATTTTTTTCGTGGAATTTTCATATCCATTGATATTTGTCGCGTCACTTAGTAACTGGTTGGAAGCAGAACTTGTCAGTCAAAGCGAGCACGGAACGAAGGTTCAATTAAATTTCCGAAGATAGAAAAAATTCATTCAATTTTTGATGACGACTAATAAAATTAAAACCAACCCAACATCAACAATTACCTAAAACAAAATTACTCCAAAAACAATGACTCTGAGAAAAATGTTATGCTGTCAATATTCTCCTGGATGGATGAAAAAAAAAAAAAAAAGGTACAACTCATACACTATCTCTTTTTTTTCCCCCGCCATCATCCAAATTGATGTCCGACGATTGATTCAATTACACGCGAACACGTACAAAAGCCAACAACTCGAGATGTTTTTCGTTTTCTTGCTTTCCTCAACCCTCTTTTACCATATAGTCCCGTGCAACAGACTAGAAGCAACCGACTCCGCAATAATAGTTACACGCGCCCGTTAAGCGGCTCGATTTCCACGCCGATCTTCCCCTCGTGTGCACACCAATGCCGAAACGACAGTCCTTTTAATGCCCCGCACAGTACGATTTTACGACCCTCCCAACCTCGCCGACCTATAATCCGTCTTACACCTACACTCGTACAACGCGTGCTCAGCAATACGGTATATCCTATCCCTCTTTGTGTGCATGTACGCGCGTTTTATACGACCAGTGCGACCCTCCTATATCGTATACGTGAGCATCTCGTGCAAGCTTGCAGTGTCACTCCGTATACCGTCGGTTCGTGTATACACTGGTCATATCCACCAGTTATATCATACTGCGGGTCAGTCGCGGACACCTAACGTGTAAGGTATACACGTAACCAGTCCTGGTCGATTCGCATATTTCTCCTCTCTCTCTCTTTTTCTCAATTGTTATACTTTCATGCAACACACCGACCGGTGTACATGTCTAAGCTCCGTTGGGGGTTGAAGTGCCAACGTATTTAGCCGACGCGAGGGCGCACCGAGATGCTAAACCGATTATCCGTGGTATGTTTAAAAAACACATCGACTCGGTGCATCGATCGCTTTTAAACCTTCCCCTATGCGCGTCTTTTCGCTGTAAACACCTGCTCGGCTGATTGGCCGATTATGGGTGTCGGCTCGTAATGACTATTTCGATAGCCTTGCACGCCTCCCCGTATCCGCAGAGGTTGTTTTCCCCTTGCCACGTACGAAATTTTCGTTCGGATGACAGGGGATAATTTGGGGAGTAGTACCCACCGACAGCTGCGCCCCCGTTTATCAGGGGGTTGTGTGGTGATTGATGGACGACAGCAGTCCCGAAAACAGCGTTGACAACTGTGCGGTAAATTGCTTTGCTCCGTCTCTTTTTTTTCCCTGAAAGGTTTTTTCGTTCGTACAAAATAGCAGTAATTTCATCGTTAAACTGAAGTGAGGTCGATAAGCCACGTCGATTAGTGCGATGTTGACTGTCATTTTTCTCTTTTATTCGAGCAAGTTGTTTTTATAATTTGGCTCCAAGACAAAGATTACCGTTATTTTCTCCGTGGAACCGCGCACGGGGAGTTGGTCGATTCGGAAATTCTCCGGTTATTCAAATGAGAAAGCTGATAGTCGCAACGGTCGTTACACCACAGTATCGTTCATTATTGAAATTTGTGGGTAGCCCGAGTTCGAATCCCGCGTTCGTTTTACATAGTTGACACACGATACGATACCCCTTTTGATTCATTTGTACGCCGTTCTTTACAAATGTCGCGCAATTGTACATGGATGGAGATTGGTTGCTGCAACGGGTGAGATTTTTATCGTTTACCTATTCTTTTATCTCGTAACGACGAACCATATGACTGCAACAATCAGGCCTATGGTAACCCCAGCAGTGATCGCCACTTGTCTGTTCTGAAAAACAAAAAAAAAAGGTTCTTTTTCATTGGGTGCTTTAAAATTGCGAGGTTTGGAAATACTTCGAGGGGATAAAATGGGTGTTATTCGGGGTAAACATTCTTGTGACATTCTTCAAATCATGCTTTGAGCATCAACAACGCAAATATTTTGAGGTCAAAGTGGATAATCGATAAAAAACGTGACCCTCGTGGAATCGACCGATTCTTATCACGAAGTACAGAAAACACGAACGGAATCCACATTCTTCTTCCTGGTTCAAACATGAGAATTTTAAAACATACGTGGAAATCCCAAAGATATTTATCGCGGAATATGAAATTCCATCCGTTTACTCGTGTAGCCCTTGATATTTTTATTTTATGGATACGTGTTTTTATTTTTTTTTTACAACACCCCGGATATCTCACGCACGTAAAATAGTGTGATAAAATTTTGGTTATTTTTATTGAATGTTGGAGCCAGTATAGTAAAACAAAGCTCACATGCATGAGACTTTACATCAATCATTAAACATACATGTTTATGCACATTCCTAGAACCTTTTACGTATACATTTTGAATTTAATGTATGATCTATGTTTTCTTCAATAAAATCGTTAGATTACTCTTCAAACATCAAGCACTTGAAGGGCTTACGCTGGCTCCCGACTAAACTTATTTAAAATTCACGTGTGATCTATATAGTAAGCTGGCCACTTAAACTCATCTGCCTATTTTTGCTTATATTCTAGAGATATAAAACGTTTTACAGCCAAATTATCGAATATTTTAAGAAATTTAAAGCTACCAGACTTGCGTTCCTATTATTTTAATACTATGATATTCTTGTCGCTGAAATACTCAGCATAGATAAAATATAATAAGATTGAAGTTGAGTAAACGTACGAGATGAAATATCTGCATTTTTTAATAAAATTTCAATTCAAATAAACTCTAAATACTTTATTTTTTGTGATGAATACTTGGATGTATTGGATCTTCTAATGGTGGCAATACGTCTAGGTGATTTTTCGAAAATGAAAAAACCACTACAGAAATCATACGAATAAGCCTAGCACTTATACATCAATTAATAATTTAATGTTATTCTCAGTGCAATAAACTGCTCTGAAGATATTATAAATCGAGACAAAGTTTTTGATTACACATTAGCCACGGCAAATACACTTACAAAGGGGTATGATTGGTGGCCTATGTCACGGCTACAATATCATAGCTCAGTCAATTTTGCCTTTCGGTAAGAGAAAAAGTTTAATTTTACTGGAAATTAAAAAATTATTTAATAAATGATGAATGTTTGTCTGTAACTTTGTAACAGGATAACTGTCCAAAGAACCTCGAGAACATTGAGATTCGAGAATTTGTTACTTTGCATATACTTTAAATCTTTTTATTTTTTTCTCTGACCCGCTCTTATGAAAAAAGCGAACATCAAATGTCAAACGTAAGACGTACGAACATCAAAAAGGTGTTAAATAGCTCTTTAAAAAATAAACGATGAGGAAACTTTTTATATGACATTTTTATTTATTGAAATGCTTATCATCAAAACAATAAATAAATATGTTATATTTATAAAAAACAGTATTTATATAAAAAAAACGATATACCTATGTACAGCCATTTCAAAGGGAATAATTATGCACCTGTTCTAACTGGTTTTGAACAATTGTGAATCGTAAGAAGATAAACAAATGAGTTATGGATGTACCCGATTGGTTTAATTGGTTGAGTAATGGTGTCCCTGCAAATTGCAAAAAACCATTGATTTTGCTCGAAATTTCGAAAATTTATACCTCTTATTTTTTTCAACTTAATCTGTTCATTTCCGGTACGAAAAACCGGTTTTTTACATGTTTACCGTTTTTTTACCATCACCGGAAACGGTAAAGTGTTCGATTTAAGTTTTTTCCATTTTTATTGTAATTATTGTAACTACTTGATTAAATTTTTTCCTCCAAACTCAGAATTGAGCAAAAATTGCCGAAATTTTTCATTAATCCCATCACACTAAATTAATATAGTTACTCAAAACTAATTTAAAAAACAAAAACATATACAAAGGTCCCTTACCACTTCGGAACACCACGAGAAATAAAGCTTGAACGTTTTGATGGGACTACTTCTTCATTCAAGGAGATGAAAACGGTCTTTCGCGTAAATCATAAAACCACTCGAGATTTTTCACCGTAAAAGACCGTATCCAACTGCTTTCGTTCTTGGACGAGGTCCTAGAATCCTCGCGGTCTTGCGCCAGCACAATCATTTCCTCGAAATCGCTCCATTACGTTTTCCCATTGCAAAGGCCATCAACGTTTGAGTATTTTTTCATGACCGTAATAAAGCCACCTCGTCGCCGCGGTAAAACGTCTTAATCGATGTGATTTAGGTTTCTCCGTTTGCGGAGAAAAACATTTCAAGCGATTGATTTTCCAATTAAACTTCGTGATGCTGGGGTATAAAAATTGACCTGCGTTTTTTTTTTTTTTTTTTGGTTGTCGCATTGTTTGGAGTTGATTTGTGGTTGCAACGCTTCAAGTAACTATGTAGCAAAGAAAAAAAAAATTTTCGTGTGTTGGTTTGTTTTCATCAATTTTTTAAAATTATTGTCAAAGAAACCAGTTTTGCAACGTACAATTTCAAACTTGAAATTTTGACTTTGAGATGGTAAAGACCTTTTCTTTTTTATGCATAAACTGACGTGGCAAATCAATTTTTATAAATCAAGGATATCTTTTACGTGTGTAAAAGAGAGCAAAGGAAACATTTTTGAGGTAATAATCGATTAAAATTTTTTTGTATTTTATTAAAAATTATACATGGGTCATTTTACAAAAACCGGCAGATTTCGAAGGCTAAAAAAGTGGTTTTAAATTTTTTCAAACTCTTTTTTCCAATAACCAAAATAAATTTGAAATTTGTGAATTTTTCGAAGGAAATGTTTAAATAATATAAATTGATGTAAAAATTTGAAATCAGGGATCAACTTAGGGGTGAGGCAGAAAATAAAATGTGACAGTGTTCAAAATTTTCTATAATAAAACTCCTTACCGCTTTTACTTCCTTTTCTCCTCTTTTTCCCTACATTTTACAGTCTTTGCTGAACCAACGTAAAAAGTTGGACGTACGCAGTAAGGAGATTCATCATCAAAAATGTTGAATACTGGTATATTTTATTTTCTGTCTCACGCCCCACGTTATCGTTGATAGAAAATTTCTTGATAATTACCAGTAGAGGGTGTTTTTTGATAAAAATTTGGAACTAAAAAAATGAGTACCTTTACGGGCTCTGAAAAAATCCTTATAAAATATAAATTTCGACGCACCAAGTAAAAATTAAACTTCGCTCTTGCGGTTGTATCATGCACGTACCAGGTACATATTTTTATCCATCACTACCTCAATTTAAAAGTGAACTACTCACCAAGAGACACTGCATTAAAAATCGTTACGGGCTCTGAGGTTTTATTTTAGGAAGACTGGCTAATTCGCGCGCATGTAGCACTAGCCGATAGTGATGGAAAAAATTATACAAATTTCTGCACTATTCTCAATCTCTGTAGAATACAATACGTCTAAATTAGAGCACCCACTTAACGGTAATTGCGTGTATTTATGAAATTATTTTCCACGAATATATTGGCTTTGTTTGAATTTTAGGGCCATTATTTAAATGGTACACAGGCCATATGTAAATTTTCTCTTTAATCTCTTTAATAAATGAAAATAATTCATTTAAATAAAAAATAATTAAACAGTGATGATTTTGAGATAAGACACGAGCTCGTGACGCCAATGTAGTCACTTTTTTTTCATTTAAAATAAAACCAATAGCTTTTCGTGATTTAATTTATGTTTTAACTTTAGAAGAATACTTAAAAAACTTTTTAAAAAATCCTTACACATGGCTTTTTGATTGACTGAACCGTGAAAAATTCTGTTTTCTGCATAATGACCCATGTACACAAAACATATGTTTCGTAATTTTACGCACTAATAAAATAGTATTCAAAAACCTTGAAACAACGAGTATGATAGATTATTAAAGGCGGCTCGTGCACCATTTATTATTAAGGGCCAACTTTGCCCATGACATCGCAAGACAGCTTCTAAACACATTTCAAAAGTTTTTAATCTACACCCCAAAAAAAGTCTGATCGTTGTGATTGACCAACAAAGCTCTACCAAAATACGATAATTCCTCGAATTGGCATTTTTTTTCAACTGTTATACAGTAAAATCGACTTGCATTCGATGAAAATCTTCCGAATTGACATTTATTCGATTTACTTTTATCAAGTCCATGAAAACGTGGTGTCACGTTTGACAGGTGTCGGGTAGAAAAAACGCACAAAGCTAAAATGGAGTTTGAAATATCCGTACACGCTACAGGTCGATTGAAACTGTAATCATCATTTTTTTTTTTTTTTTTTTTTTCTTACTTTTGTACGATTTCGCATCGCGTAATCTTATTAATTTGACGCTGACTGCTCGATTCTCTATCAGATGATAAAATACACTCAATCCAAGTCCTCAAATCGCAGTGAGGCCATTCCAACCGAATGGTCTGCTTGAAGTTATAATTTTTATCATCATGCAATAATAACGAAGTTAAGTGTTTTGAGATTCAAATTTTATCGTGCCTCGTTAACGCAAGTGGATGAAGAACGGTTGTATTTTTTTAGCGTCGGATACCGCATACTCATGTGTTTCTGAGAGAAAAAAAATAATAAAAACTATAGAGAAACTCCAGCAAAAATTACCACTCCTCACAGTAAATCGGATGCAAGTTGGCAAAAAAGGAAAAAAACAGTAAATATTAATGTTTTAACAGTAAAAAGTATAGTTTAAGTAGTTAGAATTATGGTTAAAACACATTAAAAATTACCATACTAGAATAGAAGACCTTAAAAGGATCGGTTGATAAATTTTACTTTCCTGCATCGAAATTTTTACTTTTCGAACCATATAGTTTTATCTGTTGAATCAATAATCTTTACGGTTGAAAATAATAAATTTTTCCTTCTGTGCCAGCTAGCATTCGATTTACTGTGCGGAATGGTAATTTTTGCTGGAATTTCTCTACAATTTTTCATTATTTTTTTCTCTTAGTGTACTTTGACTGAGCGTTTTTTTTAAACATGTACCATAACCGGCTCGAGCATCAGAGTGGTTTGCCGAGAAAAGTGCCAAAAAGTCGGAGCACCACCGTCTCAACCACGAGCCACGCGAACTGGAGCAACTAAAAAAAAAGCGTCGTTCTTAGAAGTTTCGCGCACTCGGAGTAATTTCGGAAAATTAATCAGCAAACACGCGCGCAGTGCAGCAGCCGGGCTCTCGAAAAACCGCGAACAATCGGGAAAAGTGCAGTACAATGTGCCCCCCCCGAACGTATACACCTGCCGTACATATATTCACCGCCAAAACCCATTTATCAACCAAAGCGCCGAGCGTGAAGAAAAAAGCAGTCCAAGGCTCCATCGTGGGGGTAAGAAAAAGCGCCGCGCCCCGCTTTTTTTACGGCTCGTCCTCGGACTTGCTTGGGAAATTTATAAAGCGAAATTGAGCGTAGAAAGGAAAAATGAAAAATAAAAATTCAATATGGTTCCGTACTTGTCTGCGAATCTTGGCCTCCCTGCACTCCTCCATGACGACCTGGGCCAAAAAGGGACCCATGGCCGGAACGGAGGAGGAGTGGCTCTCCTCCATGCGGTCGAGGCCGCGCTCGAGATCGTGGTGGCGGGATATCTGTTGTGACACCTCGGCTCGGTGCTGATGGTGCGGCTGCGGATGACCACCACCGTATCCACCGTAAGGCCCCCCAACAGCTGGTCCGTGGTGGCTCTCGTACTGGTACTCCATGGCCCTTTTTTGTGTACCCTCCGATTTATCGAGCAAGTGTTGTCTTTACCCGTTGTCGGTGGTGTAAAATGTAAAACAAAAACAACAACAATAATAGGGGAGGGGGGGAGCAAAGGGTACGAGCCGGGATGCGCTCGTGGAACGGCGCTCGCGGACCGACTGGTGTGTGCGCGGCCAGGCCTTTCGGCGCCAAAGCTCCGCGGTGCAGGTGGTGTGTATATAGATATACGTATACATATGTGGCACAACCGCCGCGTCGGCGCTGGTATTCCACCCACGAGCTTCGGAAGAAAATGGGACGCGCTTTTTCCTCCCCCTCGCTCGCGCACTCTACGCTTTGCCTCGTCCCTTTGCCAAGCTGCGACCACCCCACCACCACCCCGATAGTGAACGTCCACCCTTATTTCTCCTTGTCTCCGCTGCTGCTGATGTTGTTCTGCTTCTGTGCTGCGTGTACATGTGTATACGTATACGCACGCGGGGGTACAGTCGTAACTCATTTGGCTGTACTCTGGTTGTTGGGAGTGATTTCAAAAGTTTTCCTGCACCATTGCGATAGATTAAGTAAGTGGTGTGGTTAAGTGCAACTTGGTGTGACTGTTGGTCGAGTTAGGGTTTAGGATACATGGGATGTAAAGTTTTGTGGGGGGGGGCGTGGGGAGACTCGGAGGGGGGCTAGTAAGCGTGACTTTGAAAATAACTATATTACGAAGACAAATGCATTTGTACGCAGATATTAGGATGATAAAGAATAAAGATGATTAAGAAAAGTTTTAACTACTTTTGATGAAGGGTTTTACGAAAATTTTTTTAATTTATTCAACTCATTACCGGTACATCTTCATTATATGTTTATAAATGCACGTAAAGTCGATCTATCAAAAGTTGAGCTTTGATAAAATATTGTATTTACGTGATTAAGTGAGAATATTGGATTGTTCGTACGATACATAATAGGAATTTTTTTACCAAAATACAGTTGACACCCTAGTACAAGTGATAAATGATATCGAGACTAATTGAATTCGACGCTTTGGGATCGTAATTACTTACAAGTCTGTATCTTCAGTGTCCCATCCATAAACGGACATAATATTTTCATTCGTGAAACCATCAGAGACACAAACATTATGGAAACAGATTTGATGTTACTAGATTTTTGCACGTACAGAGCACGACTGGTACTTTTATTATCAAAAAAAAAATTTTTAGTTACATCATGCGTTAAAATTTCAATGTATTGCATAACGAGTTTTTGGTCGATTCAAAATGATATTTGCCTTCATCTCAAATGTTAAAATGTTATTGCAAGTAAAATTGTTTGATACAAAAAAAGTGTATTTTTCAAGACTTACTACTTTTGTCTTTAATGTTATTTTGGGAACTTAATTCTCTTTGCCATGGGCATAAAACTTATATTTAATTTAATAATAGTGTCAGTGACTTTCTAATTCAGAAAATCATACAGTGTGAGAAAATTGAAATTCGCTGAAATCCAACTTAATTTATTATTTCATGTCACAGGCCCGTTAAACTTATATTTAATTTAATAATAGTGTCAGTGACTTTCTAATTCAGAAAATCATACAGTGTGAGAAAATTGAAATTCACTGAAATCCACGACTTTTTCCCAAAATGCATACACACGTAAAACGTTAATTTCTCGGCAAAGAAACCTCTCCGAATGCAAACTCCGACGCGATAGCACCGAAACGATGTTATCTATACCAAATTCGAGCTCATGTGGATAAAAATAACTCGTGTTTTTATCTTAAAACTTGATTACTCGCACGCATACAGTCGACTCACCACAAATCATCTTAAAGTATACCTATACCTGTAACATGTACCGGTCTCGTACAAAAGTAAAAATTCAAGGGTGATTTCACCATTTGCTCCGTCGAAAAAACTGATCTCATTAGATTCGAAGCCCTACAATTTTGTGGAAAAAAAGGGGTGTGTTTTGTAAACGAAACCAAACACTCGACGCCGTAGGCACAACAACGAAACTTCGATCCCTCCCAATACTCGCATACACGTACATATCCATACACCACGTACACAAGTCTCTTAAACAAAAGCAGAGGAGGAGGAGAATGTCATACACCAGCTTCTATGTACACACGAGCCAATGTAAAGACGGAATGGTATAGGCTGTCAGGTATCCGTACGATAGCGCCCACAGATCCTGTACATGCGACACACACGATTGCGAGGAGGAAGCTCCGAGGCGGAAATGTTTCAGTACTCGAGAGCTGCCAAGGACCTCGAAGCAGGGGGGGGCTATCTTTCCTACGGGGCTAATGGTTTTCTTTCTCGACGAGCCTGCGATTGCTACTCTTTTTCTTCCTTTTTTTTTGTTTTTCTTCTTGCCCAGCAGTTCACTCCTCCGTGGACACAATGGATTCGCAACCGCCTCGAGATATTTGGCAGTTTGCTGGATTAATCAGGCCCTATTTCACGGGAACACGGGTCTTTTTCGCAATTACCCCTCGCAAAGAGTATCCTCCCCTTTGAAGAGTGTCACAGTACAGCTCCTCCTTGGCGATGGAAGGACACCCACGGACTCGGGATTTTTCGTATATTTATGCAAACGAAAAAATGAATGTAAGATTTTGTCAATTTGTCATCTAGTTTCAGATTTCCAGCAAGCTGTACTCGGTAAGCGGGTTAGCATTGAGGGGATGACCGTGGCGCGTGAAAAAGCAAAGTGACAGGAGGGATAATTTAATGCCCCGCCGTACTCTGTTGGATGGTCACGTGTATCGATCGCGCGATCCGCTTAACATTCGCCGCGCCACGTTGACCCTTGTTAGGGGTTGATGGTCTTTTTCCACCGGCGTTCCATCATTTTTGATTCCCGGTCCTTTACTTCCAAGGCTGGATCATCAATTTCAGCTTTTCCCAGACAACTTTTCTTGGCAGCTCTCCTGCTTCGAGGTATATATTTACGGTGCTCGAATGTTTCCGTCATCCGTTTTTTTTTCTCCCTCTCTCGACTTTGATGGAAAATCGGTGTCTGATTTTTTTTTTCGGTGTTTTACTTGATTTCACGGTTTACAAAAGTATTAGTGAATATTTTTAAGTCCTTTATTTCTTTATCGTGTTTTTTATTTGTTTGGTTTCTTCTTTTTTTTTTTGCATTTAGAAGGGGTTGGTTAAATTTTGAACCGTACGAACAATCACAATATGCAACACAATTGGGTATATTTTAGCGCTATATCTGATGAAAGGATTAGAAACTATAACTGTGTAACAAAATTCTGAAATAAAGTATAGGCATAGTTGAAAGAATGGGATTTGTATGGAAAATGGCTGAGGTACTTTAAACATTGTGGAGTTTAATTTTCTGAGAAACAAAATGTAATCCACGAGAGTCATATTATTTATGCCTAGACACTTTTAACTACTCCCATTGTGCGAGCTTCAAGAGAGTTAAAGAGAAAAGTTAGATCTGGCGTGTCATGCATTTTAATTGAACTTGAAGGAGTACTTCGTTATGTTACGGAGAAAACTTTAAGACCCGCCTTTTGCGCTACGTGTGATTTCCATTTAATCTCAATTAAATATTTATGTGCGTAAAATACTGGCAACGTAATCCTTGATACTGACAAAGTGTAGTTTTAATTATTATTCTTTTTGAAGGAACGGGAAAGGTATTTTTTTACTGATACACTATTATTAAATGACGTAAATTTAATTTTCTTCACAAAACTCAAACTTTTGATTCAAAATTCAAAGCATCATTACTCAAAAGACTTTTTGCTTGGTTGTGCGTACCATGTTTCGAATTTCATCCAACAAATTTATTATTCTCTACAGTTCTGAAAAAGAAAGAAAGAAAGTAACTCTCAAAGTCGATATACATATACATCTATTTCGTTTACCTAAGTAATTTAAATCATTCTTGGCTCTGGATCACGGTTGTATCAAAGAAATATTTTAAAAATAACCTTATTGGTATGAAAAGTGATTTTTACTTCAATCTTTGCTAAAAATTCATTGTAATTAATTCTTTACGCATGGATTTTTAAATGTGTAATTTTGAGACAATTCAAAAGTTATGTTGTTCTTGTATTAAAGGATAGTACGTAAAAGATTACATGAGGATTAAAAAAAAATACAAAATTTCTTTGATTAATTAAAAATCCAAGCATTAACCTTTTTTCTGTGACAGGTGTTCACCAGAATTGACGAACTTGTGGTAAGATGAAAAAATGTATTTTTGCACAAACTGTAACTATTATAGCTGATTCAAACAATAAAAAATTCCTTTGTAAATACAGAAATATTTTAAGAAACTTTTTGGTTCAATAATAAAACTTTTAAACTAAAAAAAATTACTATCCCACTATTATTATTATTGTTATTATTAATGCTATTATTATTATTATTATTATTATTATCATTATAAGAACCAATAATTTTTATAAAATAGTTCACTGTTTTTAATCAAACTTTGATTTTTGATCTTTTTTTTCTCAAAGGTCATATGTCGAGGACCTTAAATTATTCAGCTGAAACTTATTTCGCGAGAATCGAGATGACCACTCCGAACTTAAACTAGGTCAGCCGAAAAATCCAGCAATTAAGGTAGGTCTTAATTAAAATATCCCAAATATAATAAAATTCACCTAGAAAATGAAATAACTTGCAACAGCTTTATCAAAGCTGTTAGAGTGAATAAGTTCTAAATTTTCTAATAGAGGTACTAGAAAGTAAAGTACTACCTTTTAACAAAACAAAAAGGTTAGGTAAGTGATGTGTTGGGTTAATATTTTGTCAAGAATTTCTGAAACCTTT